CATTTACGCAGACGACTGAGCGAGGGCGAAAGGTCACAGTTGGACCTCAGCTAGGCAATGCACCGCGCCAAATAAGATATGTTAAATTTCTTTGGGCTTTCATTAAGACAAATCAAGAAAAACTCATGAATGACATTTTTCTATCAGTCTTTTGGCGTTTTGTGCCAGATAGCCAGCTGATGAGTTATTGATACAAATTTATACACTATAATAAAAATATAAAAAAACCTTATTAAAAGAAAACATAGCATAAAATAAATCAAGAATATTCTTGCCAACTCGTTCCCTCGTTCTGTTTGCCACCTATTAACAATTTGGTGATACTCTCAGCTCCAACCGTTTTCTTACAGTGTATGCTTGCTGCACGGCCTTTGCACAGTTCAAAATGTGTCGGTGATTTACAACAATGTCGCCTACACAAATTTTCCAAATGTGTTTTTGCCACGAAAGCAAACACACACACATATATACAGACGCTTTACCATACATTGACACGCATGTTGCAGCCTGTATCTAAACTGCATGCGAATGCGTGACTCGTCCTTGCCCAACACGGCCATGCCGCCCACACACGCAACCACACACACACACACACACAGAGAGAGACATTCACACACACGTGCTCCTGGAGTGCGACTTTATTAGCGGAAGTGCTTTATTTAAGCTACAGAGCCGGGGATAGAGGCAGAGACAGAGGCAACATTCGAGGCAAGTCCTGGCAGTCAGCCAGGATTCGGCGTGAAGTCGTTTGTAATACGGCCACGTAGCTGGTGGGAGCCAAAAGCGCATGGCAGGCATTTTACTTGAAGGAAATTGCATTTTCGACATTTTTCACACTTGGCAGCAGCAGCAGCAGCAACAACAGCAGCTGGCAATAGAGTTGCGTTCGCCTTCGGTGCGGCACAAAAGCGCTGTCAGCCAGCAGCAAAAAGGCACAACACAGGCCAAACAACAACTGCATTGGGCGCGGGGGGGAATGGGCAACGGGAGGCAGAGCAAAAGGCCACTAGATACTTTGCATGCAGGCAGGACAACGCACGACTCCTCCAGCTCCTCCGTCAGCTGCTGCTGCTGCTGCTATTCCTGCTGTGCCTTTCGTTTTTGTCACACTTTGGCCAAAAGGTGTCAAAGGTGCATTTGGTGTTTGTTGGTGTTTATATTGTTCTTGTTGTTGTTGCTGTTGTTGCTGTTGTTGTTGCGACTGCGTGTGCGGCATTTCCGTTCATTTGTTTTACTTTGCCAAAGGGAAATGCGCAAAAAGCGCAATCAAAGCGGAAATGAAATTTGCAGGATGTAAGAAAAAAAAAAGTACTGAATTTTAAACACACACACCCACACACACACACACACACATGAGCACAAAAGACGCGACAAAGGACAAGGCAAGTGCCTCGTAAAGCGTTCGGGATTTAATACAATTTTGAAATGCTTTTGGCCTTCTAGGCCAATTTGTGTTGGCCAACTGGCTGCATGGCAGCGATAACACAACACCAGCCGGCCAGGCCCCAAGCCACAAGCCGAATGAAAGCCAAAGCCAAGGCAAAACCATTTTTAACTGTGTGCTGCATTAGAGCGCAGCGAGGCATCAACTGGCTAGCTGGGCGGATGGATATGGCGCCAGGCGACATTATTGTCAACGCTTTTGACTGGCTGCATTGGGTTCGTAAATGAAGGCGCAGTGCGAACGAGCGCCAACTGTTGTCCGGCTGGTGCATGGGCAATGCGATACATTTTTGCAATAATTTGCTTTAGCTTCTGGGCATTTTAATTTGCAATGGTCTGGGCAAGGGTATAGTGCAAAAGTGTGATTAGATTGCGGAGGTTCTGAGCCGACGGCTGGAATTGGTTTTAAAGGTGGCAGGAAATTGAAAAATATGTGGCTATGTGCAATATAATTAATAGCACTGCGATTTTAGGGAATCTAATGCTTATGTTTCATTAACTAATAATGTATTTAGAGTAACATTTAGAAGCCATGAATTTTGATTGGAATTTCTAGCAAAATTCATCTTTTTATTTGTATATCTGCTCCAGTCAAATATATATTTGCCTCTATAATACATAATTATCAAAAATTTATTTTAATATATGTAAGTAAGTAAATAAATAAATGAGATATTAAAATATTCCATTAAACGTATTTAATTAATGCAGCCATGTCCCGTACGCTTTAATAAAGCTGCCACAAAAACACACAGCTGCCCATATTCTTTGTTTTGTAAGCAAAGCCATGGGCTTAACATCAAAATTAATTTAAAGAAATTACTAATATTTTGCAGACCTTTACCGCCCCCACCTATGTCCCCCATATTTGGGGTTGCAGCAGCTAGCCTTAAGCTGTATTTGTTGCATGTAGCTGCCTGGCCCCGCCCACTCATAAAGTCATATGCAGCTGTATGACAAAACAGACAGACAGAGAGACAGACAAGCAGACAGCAGAGAAAGAAGAGGCATGCATGTGTGTGTATGCGTGTATGTGTGTGGCGCAGACGACAGGCGTTGAGTTCGTTGGACATTTTGTGAGCTGCTACGTTTATTTATTTATATGAGTGAAGAGTTGAGCGGGGTGCGGGCTCTGTGCGGTGGCAATGCAACATTGTTGTCAGCAGCAACATCAGCATGTTGCATTTATGAAATCCTTTTATCTTTTAAGTTGAATGCTACCAAACATAAATGGGCGCAGGGCGTGGCAAGGCTATTACAAAAAGCTCTTTTTGGCAGCAATATTGTCAGACATGGTTACATGCCAACTGCGTTTAACGCCACCCACCCCTCCGCTCACAGCACACCCCTCACCAACGATGCACTCTGTGTATTTGTGCAAACAGGGCTGTCACCTTGAGTGTCATTAATGCAAGTGACATTTTCATTATAGCTACTCGCTTTCTCTTACGGATTTCTCGCATTTTCAGCTGCCAAAAATTTAACACAAAATTGTCGCACCCCAGAATTTATTGAAGAAAATGTTTGTAGAGAGATTTGTATCGTTGAAAAATTAAGTGCTTAAATGAAAACTTAAAGAAATCATATAAAATTGATGGCATATTTTAAATGTGCACAATTTTTCATAATCGTTAATGCAAGTTATTTCATTTAAATAATTATTTTTGTAATTATCTATAATTATTTTCCAGGCTATAATTTGCTTAGTTCATTTTCCTTTTATGCGCAAGACCCGTTTTTGGTCTCAGAACTTATCGTTGATTTAGTTTTATGCCTGGCATTTCACATTTCAATCTTTACTTTTATCAAATATCATTTTTCATCTAGCTCAATTTGCTTTTCGTTTAACCTTCCAATCAATTCTAATCGCCAGCTGATGCAGCTACGTAATAAGCTTGCGGGTCAAGTTAATGCGTCAGCTTCGACCCCTTAACCCTTAACCCTATCATCCCGCAGATGCCGAAATCCCTTCGGCAAATAGCCAACAAATAGTTTTTACCGATTTTCTTTCTCTCTCTCTCTCTCTCAGTTTCTCTCTCCTTCACTGTCTCATCAACAAGGGAAGGCAAACAAAAACTATTGTCGAGTGGAGAAAGGCGAAAACCAAAATAAACTTGGCAATGCCAATAGTGGGTGCGTTTGGGCAGCTGCCACGCCCACATATCTCACACTTGAGCGCATTTATTTGCATAAGTATGAAATTTACATTCCATTACACAAATTATTTTCTCCAACGGCCACATGGAGGCGGTGATTGCGGGAAAGAGCCACCGTTCACACCATAAGAGTCAGCTTATACTTTTTGCATGACAATTATTTGTTTTCTATTTTCGCAACGCCCACCAGAAGTAGTTGCCCCCGCCCCACCTCCCATCGACATGACTCGTTCTATTTCCTTCGTTTTTTTTCTTTTTTTAATAACTTAAGCCAACCAACACATCGCTTGAGCTGTTGCTGCCAGTGTGTTGTGCTGTTATCCTTTCTGCGCCATTGACAATGGTCCCACCACTAGCGGGTCCTGGGCACACCTGCAATGTCAACATGGCCACGCCCACACCCACACACATACACACACGCAAAAAGATAGAGAATGAGAGGGCCCATGAGGTTGGCTACGTTCTCGCACGCCTCAACGGTTCAATTGTCTTAATTTCCTTGTCCTGGCATTTTGTTTGTCCAAGTCCAAGACGAGCGCGCTTCGTCATGCCTTGTCTGTCCTTTCGATTGCGTCCTTGCGGTTACCGTTGGCATTGCAGCTGTCAGTCGTTCATCGTTGTTGTTGTTGTTTTTGTTGCTGTTGCTGTTGGCCCGTGTCCTTCCTTCTACATTGCGCCGTACGTTTTCTGTTTCGGACAATGTGGCTCCAATTTTGACACATTCAAGCGGCGACGCCGGGACCAGTTTGTCCTCCAACGTCCACCTCGTCCTGCTGATGCCGCTCCTCGTCATTATTTTGCCTGGCTCGACCCCAGCCCACAGCCAATGCGTTATGCTTCCTTCTGCTGTTGCCCATTCATTATTTGTCAATGTCAGAGTCGGAGTCAGTCCGTCAGCTTTTACTGCTCCTCCTCCCACAGGTCCTGCCGCTGCTACTGCTGCGTCTTCGCCAGTGTTTGCGTTTTGTCAAAATGGAAATGAAGAAAATTTGCACGGTCGCTGCATTTGTGGCATTTTTCCAACGCGGACGTTTAGGTGTTCGCATGTCCTTTTTAATCATTTTTGTTTTTTTTTTTTTTGTTCCTCTCTTCCCTTTTTTTTTTGCGTTTTGCATTGTTTTTGGTGCATTTTTGCACGCTCTTTACTCTCTGTCCCCCGCCTGTCATTTGTCTTGCATTTTTATGCGTATTTCAAAAAGTCCTGTGCGAGTCCTGCGCAAGTCCTGCGCTCATTTGTTGCGTGCAACCATTTGAAATGCGACAACTTTTTGCACAGCAACTGAACAACGTTGTTGTTGTCGTTGTTCACGTTGTTGTTGTTGCTACTGCTGCTACGTGCAGTTCATTTATTATGTTGACACTTTGAAATTAACTAAGGAAATGAAATAAATTGATGTGACTTTATGAAGTGCGCGAAGTGTCCTCCCAACCAAACAGCGCCCACACCCCTTGCTGCCAGCACAGCTGACTGACTGGACTGTCATTTGCAGAGCAACACGCTTAAAGTTTGCCAGCTGCGACTCTTTCGCTCCGGGCTCTGGTAATTAAAGATGCTGATTAGCTTCAAAGCGAAGAAGAGTTTGTTTTTTAATGTAATTAACTTATTGCCTCAATCTAACTACCTAGTATTAAAAACAGCCTTAATCGACTTCCGCCAATATTCCACAGTTGCGGGTAAATTTTTCAAAATCGCTGAAATATGCATTCATTGATTGCTAATCCAGAGCTCTGAAAAAAGGTTTAAGGGTTGACCACAAAGTGTGAACCACGTCTCAAAAAAACATACATAAAGATTCTTCGATATGCGCTTGGGCCCGAAACTTCATCAAGTCTGTGATCTTTCCATCAAGGAGGTTTCGATTATTCCAACTGTTTGCAGCACTTCTTAGGTAAACCTAAGAAAGGTTTTTGAAAATGAGTAAGAGGCCAATTCGATATTAAACAAAACATTTTCAGAAGACTGCTTGCCGCGAGTTGTTTACACTCACAATTATCAGAAAAAGGTTCATTACATAAGAAAAAATATGATACATATTTTTATATATGCATACTTTTAATTTAAAGGGAATAAGATTTAAATAGTTAATCACGGGAAAGTGAATCGTCATCTCCATCAACTGAAGATAGGAGATAAATTTACTTTCTAGTCTTTAAATTTTTGTTTATATGCCTAAAATCTAGGTAACTGTTGGCCTTTGCATGCTTAATAAAACTAAATTATTATTTACAATTTAATTAATGTTATGTTGTTGACCGCATAAAAATGTGCTTATCGATCTGTGTAAATAAAAACATGGAGAACATTAGGTGTTTAATGCACTTTTCAAATGCAATTAGTGTGCCACAAACTGTAAACATATTAAATGACAATTAATTTGTTGCCAATCAATTGTGAAATTGCTAGTCAAACAGCCAAAATGCATTAAAATTAATGCACTGAGCACTGACCGCAAAGAGAAAAATCTAAAATGACAAAAAATAAAGTAAATTAGCAGCTCAGCTCAAAGCGCACAGTTTCACTCATTAGCAAACGACACGCACTGAAAGTGTATGCAAAAATTAACAAATGACACTGACTAAAAGTGGATGCAAACATCTTAATCAATTATTATTAATTGATAGACTCAAGTAGATTGCAACCAATTGGAATCAAGGTGCCTACAATTGGTTAATAAACTTTTTTAGCTCTCATTTCTCAGGTATCAGGGTTCCGATTTTCACGCTCAGGGATTAATCGCTATCAAACCAGAATATAAATTTGTTTTTCTTCACAATTTTGAGCTCATAGCATATTTTTAATCCTAAGAGAGCTTTATCTCTGGTTCAAAGATATCTTTATCTGTTTACAGTTGACTATTGCTAAGAATAAATTTAATTATTTTTAGCTGCTTTGAATTTATTTATTTAATACATTTTTATCGATGCCATTTTTAAACAAATGTCAGGCTTTATCGGTTTAACGCCTGTGCTCGTGCATCACGTGGTCCACATGATGTCAGGCTTCAATTAACCGATGCCGAGCTAGGTTTTGTGTTTTAATTACCAGCCGCTTAATCTAAAATTCAACAGCTAATTAGTGCGCCTGCCTACCAAATGCGGCTTTGAGCAATAAATGCGCACTAGTTTCGGCTGGGCCAGCCAGCTGGCCGGGTAATCCTCATTAAATAGTTAAATTCAAATTAAATAAATTGCCACAAATCAATTATAAATAAGCGTTGTAATTAGAAGACCTCAACGGTGCCTAGGCACCGGCCATTAGCTTGGGGTCAGTTCCGTGCTCCCATTCCCTGTTGCATGTTTCTCTGTTGCCGTGTTGCCCAGTTGCCCTGCTGTCCTGTTGCCCTGCTGCCCAGTTGCCCTGTTGGCTGCTCCCCATTGCCTGTTGCACGACATTATGACGCGTTGTTGGCGCCATTTCAATTAGTTTAACAGGCGCAATGCAAGAGGCCAAATTAAACGTAAATGTTGGCAAAATACATTTAGAAAACATAATACAAAAACAAGCAGAAAAAAATGAATCCCACGACACTCGAACGGGACACGCAACGCAACGGCAACACGAATTTGAATGCACTTGTCCCCAAGTAAATCCCCAGAAGGTCCGGCAAAACTGTTGCCAGCTTTTGCTTGCGATTTTGCAATCATTTGCCTCCAATACATTAAGTTGCATATAAACCTGACAATGGCAGCTACTGGACATCGGGCAAGGGGACAGCACGAAGGCAAACAGTTGACAACAACTTAATCACTTAGCATTATGCAAATTTAATTATTATCACTTCATCATCGACAACATCAACACGAATGAAACGCGTACTCTGCCCTTTTCACTCTCGTTCCCTCTCTCTCTCTCTCTCTCTCTTATTCTCATTGTCTCTATCCCTGAGGTCCTGAGGTCCCCAGTTCGTGTTTTATTCATAGCATTGATGGCTATCAGGCAAATGGCTATAGGACATAACAAGTGGGGCCAAGGCAGGCAGTTTCCTATTGGAATTGAGACTCACCCGCACTCTCCCTGTCTCTGTCTCCCCTCTCTCTGTCTCTCACTCTGTCTCTCGTCACTTGTATTGCTCATTATCATTGTATTTAACTCAGGCATTGCTGTTGTTGCTGCTGCTGCTGCTGCTGTCAATACAATCAGCCCATGCATTTGTTTATGCAGTCGTTCAGTTGACTGCATTGAGCAATACTCCATCCGCTACACATTAAAACTAGAGAGCTCTAGTCGCACGTGATCGACTAGGGAATACCCCGTGCACAGCGCCATTCAAGCTGCCTTCTATGTATCGAAGATGTATCGATTCCAGATGCGCTTTAAAAACCCAATATGAAAATCGACGTTCATTGATTTAGCAGGTAATAATCGCTAGCAGGAGTTTTGCTTAAAATTCCAAGTCCTTAAAACTTATGGACTTATATAGAGATCTACACGGCTAGATCTGCTGGTCAAGAATATATATATTTTATTAAGTTATAGAACACTGATTATGCAATTTATACCTAGCGAATTTCTACAAGCCCATCAAACTCCTTTTTAGGCGTTGTCAATGGGTACGGGATGTTAACTGTGTTCGAAAGTATTATTTAAATTAGATGGTTGCCATGCCTGACATTAAACGGAGAGAGGGGTTTTTTTTTTGTCACAGTGAACATTTTAAATATGAAATACGTACCGTCCCAATTAATTGTATTAAAAACGAATCTTACATATAAAAAAGTTTAAAAATTTCCCGTGATATCTTCTATTAGCCAATGAACTCATAAAAATCGTTTATCTTAAAAACAAATGAAAAATAAACAGCACCCAGTGCTCATATGCATTGGCATGAAACTTTAATACAACATGTTTATATTTAATATTGTATACGTTTTTAGAGCATAGAAAATGGCCTAGTTTTAGTATGCCATTAAAAGCTGGAGCACATATGTATTACCCATCATTCTAGTTGGCCTAGAAAGCGTAGGTTTTTATTAAGTTTAGCGGAGCCTGCGTTATGGGCACCATTTGGGCATTTTATTTGCACATTTGGCGAGGCAATAATCTACTTGGGCCCATTAAAGTGGCTAAAAGTGCGCTTTGTGCCATGGCACATTCAGTTTTTTACAGCCTCGTGTAGTTTATTTAAAATGCCATTAAGTGCAAAACAATTTCAGTTTCCGTTTGCTGATGCTGCTGCTGTTGTTCCTGTGTTCATGTTGATTATGAGAGTTACGTTAATATAAGTGGAAACTGAATATAATGAGCAGCTATCGACCACGAAATACCCTTTGATATATTGAAGACGCCAATGAAAGCGTTGGGGATCATTCTAATAATAAACAATGCAAATAAATTTACTCAATAAATGCAAAATACATTTTTAAAATATGGAAGAAATTAATTATATAAATTAATAAAAAGAGGAACACTATACAAGCCAAAAGCCAAAGAAACTATACTCAACACACTGTATTATTTATAATCATTCTAATTTATTTTTCCCATAGCAGCTAACAGATATTCCTCGGCCGGACAACCCAAATAATTTTATTTTCAAGTATACACTCTAGCGAAGATTTAAATTGCACTGTATAGTATAATCAGATGAATTGTGTCAAAATTGGTAACATATCTCACAAAGCAGCCAATATATCCCACTTTGACGTACACAGTGAAGGCAAAAAACAGCACTCGGGCAGTTGCCAGAAGCACAAACATTTTGTTTTAAGATCGCCAAATGAATGCACTAGAGATGGGGCCAGGGAAATCATGATATACAACAACTACCAGGGAACCCAGCAGGAGCCATTAAAAAGCGTCTCTGCACAAACACACACACGCACGTTCACACACAGGCACATACATGAAAGGTGAGAAAATATGCAACCAAAAAGTGGCAAGCAAAAATAGTGCCGAGTGCCAAATGTATTGTAGTAATAACAATAAAAGCAACTGCCAGCAGGCCGGCTAGGTGCGGGGAGGTCGACAACTACGACGCCGACTGCGGCCTGGGTCGGCTTGGCTCGCATCAGTGGCAACAACAAGTTGCACGTGCTTTCAACTTAATAACGTGGCTTTTATTTTTACGGGCTACACAACAACAACTACAAGTTTAAAGAGCAACAGCCAAAGGTTGAGCTGTATATCAAAGCCAAGCAGCAAAGATTCCCATCACATCTTTAGCTTACGCGCTCTCGCCCTCTCACCCAGCCACTCCCGCTCGCTCAGAGTCTTCCTTCATCATAGCGACTGCATCGACAAACTACCCAGAACAAGAACAACAATGGCAAACAGCTCTGTTCGCACTTTTCGCACCTTTTTTGCATTTTGCAGGGTATGTATGGGTGCGGGCTATAAACCAGGAAAAAAAAATAAAGTAAAACAGAAAGAAACAACAACAACAACAACAACAACTACAGCAGAACACAAAGAAAGCATACACAAAATGGCGTAACGTTGCGGATTTTACGCACGGCAAACAAACTACGCGCGCGTACACAACAACAAGAAAATGCACTCAGGCTTAGTGTCGGTCGACGGCGACGTACCCATCATTCCCCCAAAGAGCCCGAGACCCACGCCCCGTTACAGCCAGCTGCCCAACCCCGTTCGCTGCTGCTGTTGCTGCTGCTGTTTGCACCTTTTTATAGCCCTGGCGGACGCTTTGGCAGCGGGCGTGCGGCATGCGCGGTGTCGTGTGGGTGCAAACTTTTTGAGGTCTGCTTTGGTAAGTGCTGCTGCTGCGGACCGCAGCTTAGTTACGTTGAGGTTGACTGCATCTCACCCAGCAGCTCGAGACGGAGAGGGAGTGGGTCTGGTCTGTGGGGCAGAGCCTGCAAGGTTGAGTTACCTGCAGTGCAAGCAAACTCATAACCCGTGCCCGAGCGAAATGTGGTCAGACATAGCAGACACAAGCCGTGCAGGTGATAAACGAGTAGGCCATTTACAAGACTGCAAAGCTATAGAAACCGTCAGAGCCTGACTTTTAAGTGGAGAGAAAAATTGAACGAGAGAACGGCACGCCGAAGACTAAATGCTCTGGCATACATTTAGCTAAAGGGTTTGCAGAGGTGTGAGGAGAATAAAAAAAAACACATAAAATACAAGTGCAGAGTTAAGTCAAGCTTCCGAAAAGCTTTCATGAATTACATTTGTACATGACAAAACATTTGTAAAAAAGAATAATCATAAATTGATTAAAAAATATATAGAGAAAATATCACAGCATTTTGTACTAAACATAACCAAAGCGAATATTGATGGATATGGTAACATTTATACGTAAAGAACATGTACAGTAGAGACTGCGTGTAGGCAACCACATAAATAAATGATATACATGGCAAGTCTCACATGCAGTCCACGAATTGCTGTAGGGCATAAAATGCTCAGTGCTCGGCGCCCGTAAGTAGTCAACTCTTTTTTCTACCTGAATCCATATAGTATAGCAGAGCACACCCACAGATTTATGTTTGAAATAATTTATAGAAAAAATACAGAAATTAAATAAAATGGTATTACGGCTACGGCTACGGTGTGCAGTAACTCTGGCGACGGCGACGTCGACGTCTATCCTATTAAATGTCCATTTGGCGTTTTGTTATGCGAGTTGTTGGCGCAACTTTCATCCATTTAATTTTGTTTTATTTTTTTTCTTTTAATTTTTTTTTTTCTGTGCGTTGCAGCAGCTAGCGTCCAACATCATTAAAAAACTGTCATTAGCAGTTGAGTACATGAAAACTGAATTTTCATTACGTTGTTGGTCGAACAGTAAAAAATGGTAGAAAAAAAAAAGATAAAGATTGTTATAAAAGCTATAGTCATGTTAAGGGAGAATTTTCCTATTTTTTCCCATTCGCTGCCATTTTGCTTTGTAATAATTGTTGTTGTTGTTTATATAATCGAATTTTAAGCAAGTCTGTGTGTGCGTATGTGTGTATGTGCTTGTTATTGTGTTGTTTGCACACTCCATTTAAGTGATGTCGGTGCACAAGTGTCGTACTGTATCAATATGACGGCCATTAAGTATGCAACAGTTTCATTATTATTTTTTTTTTTAAATGAGCGCTACTGGAAAACCTGAAGGAAAAGCTATCTAAAGGAAACTTTTTAGTTTTTTTTTTATCTAAATCTGATTGGTTCAAGTTTCTTCAGTTTTTCAAGCATACGCACAAAAATCTATCGAGAATAATTATAATATCAATTAATTACTAAGTAAATGAAATGAATGACAATTATATCGAATTGTTTTACTCTTGATTGTACGTTGCCTGGACTTGACGTGCATTATGATAACATTTTGTTACAATTAAAATGGATTAACCCGAAGCTATCCCAATGGCAGTTGTTTTCATAGTTACTCTGTTAAATGTAAGCTTTCAACTAAATGTTACATAAGTTTATGCATAACTCAACCATAGAACATATAAATTCATCTTTACAGTCGTGTCTAATGAGATGTTGGCTACATTCTCTCATTGTGCAAAATGAAGGAGGTCCAACAGTCTCTGGGTGCGGGTATAACTGCTGCTGTTGCCTGTCAGTTTATCGTCTATACACACTTTAACACTTCCGCTTGGCAGTCGTCAAATGTAATTAATATCCTGTTACACTTTGTTTGACTAGCCCGAAGCGTTTTTTAAAATTAATTACCAGCTGTAGTGTGCAGACAACACGAAAATGTTGACAACGTTGTTACTAAGCCCCAGACATTTAACATACAAACACAATCTACAATCCATGCAACTAATGCCGAGCTGTCAGCTCATTATTATCAACAGAGTGTGTCCATTGTCGTTGCCAGAGAGAAACTGTCTATACTCTGATATAAATATGTGTGTGTGTGTGTGTGTGTGTGTATGCATGTAACTACGAGCAGTATATGCAAATGTATATGTATTCAAATCGAGCCAAAAACCCACTCAACCAAATTAACACTTTGGCAGTGAGTGAAGTAGATACACAGATAGATAGATGGAGAGAGAGTGGGGTGGCAAGGACTTGTGAATAGCCATTGGAATGATTGAGGTGGAGCAGGAGGCCAAAGGGCAGCATGGCAGATAATGCTCAAAGGCATTATTGTCAATATCAGAGGAAAATGTTGCAATCTTAATCTGTAATCAACATAAAATTCAGTCAGTGGAAAATGTCATCACGGCGATACGAGTGAGATAGATAGATACACAACGAGAATGGGAAAGAGTGAGAGGGAGACAGGAGAGAGAGCGGTTGTTGAGTAGACAACTTGGGGTTACGACAATTCAATCACAGCTTGGCCAAATCAACAGTCGACCGTTTGGCCAGTCAGCCCCATCAGTCAGCAGAGAGCCCACCGCCCACCATCGTCCTCTGGCAAGATAGCCTAAGGCAAATTTGTTGCGGTTCTTTGTTACTTTGATTTTGTATAGATTTAGAGCTTAAAGCGACCGAATGAAGAGTGGGACCAGCGGTTGCTATACCCTATAGAAAAGTAATGAGAGCAAGGGTATAAACGAACAAAAAGAATTTTGGAGCTCTACAATTATTTCAGATACAACTCTGACGCTTGATAAAAAGTATTTGCAATTTATAGAGCATTTGCTACGTGCGTCCTCTTTTTTGTTTTGCAAATGGCTTAGATTTCGAGGCTGCAAATGACTTTTGTTGAAGTCAGCAGACAAGGCAGAAAAGTTGACTGTAAACG